TCTCTCTCTCTCTCTCTCTCTCTCTCTCTCTCTCTCTCTCTCTCATAGTCTGCTGATGCAGTGAAGTCAGATAACGAGAGGGTGAGAGGGAGATGGTGGACTGAGAAGAGGGAGAAGAAGAACTCTCTCTCTCTCATATGCCAGGTACTAACCTGTACCTTGAAGACGAAGCTGGAGCGATGGCGCTGCAGGTAAGTTCCCCTGGCCTCCGCCCAATCTCTCCCTCGATAGTACTACTCTAGCTGTTATGGCGCCCAGCGCTGACGACTACAGCTAACGCTACTAGTACTCCTGCAGCGCTTCTTCAGAGTGCTGCTGCCAAATCCTGAAGACTACCTCCTGCCTCCTGAACTGCACGTGAAGTGCCTGGGAAGTACCTAGGAACTACCTACCGGCCTGCAGGGCGGGCCAGTCCTATGTAGTGCTGGCCCGTCCAGGAGGCTTCTCTTGCCAATGCCGAAACGTGCCGGACCCTGATTTGAAGCTCAACCAGGGGTTGTCTTGAAAACAGGCCTGAAATGGCCTGTGCTAAAACCCTGATTTGTTGCCTGAGTTTCAGGGCGGGTCGGACTGATGAGGGCCTGAAAATGGCCCTCAGTTTCAGGATGAAAATACTCAGGGCTGGAAAGGCCCTAATTTAGCCTGAAACGACACAGGGCCTGTAGGCCCTTGTTTTCAGGCTTTTGGCCTGAAAACGTCACAGGCCTGAAATGGGGCCTGTGCAGCCTGTTGCAGTCGCAGCATGTAACATTAGTGAGGCAATGTTATTCCTACTGGAAGTGGACTCGTTGACGAGCCAACCGTTGATACGTGGTCAAACATATGTCCTGATCATACCTAATGCCAGGGAACCATGATCAGTTTCTCCGCCCTGTCAGTGGCCTCCCACACAGACCTGTACCTTGTCAGGTCCGAGTTCTTCAACTCATCTGTCACTCGCTGTGCCCGTTGGTGGCCATGGCATTTGGCTTCAACGAGCGTCATAAACCGATCCAGGTTGACATGAGCTGCCCATGCATCCATGTCCTTGCCAAACCCCCTGCCTCTGCGATCATGCCATCTAGCCCCCTTGAACCCTACTCTCCAAGTCTGATGTTCTTTGACTACAGTAACTTTATTGAAGTCTTTTGAACTTTTATTCCACTTCTCCGTCCTCTGTTCCCATTCTTAGATTTCCACTCTGTCCTAAACATCTGGACCCCCATTCGTCCAAGATCCCCTGTCTCTGAAACCTCTCCCTGTATCTTGTTCTGATCAGCAATCTGCATCCTTACCCTGACTTTCACTCCTATGATCCCCACCTATCCGTTTTCCCTGTCACCTTGCTTGCCTCTGGTGACTGTGCAGTGTTGGCGATAATGGATCTGATGGCAAACATGTATGCAGGATGGGCGGCTGCATCACAATTCAGATTTATTTATAGCTGGTTGGTCACCAGGCTGTTTTCATTGGCCGGCACATATAACTGCAGACTTCCGTCTGTAGCATCGTAATCTCTAGTGTTAACAGTCCCTGCTTCAGCCTGCGGCACAGTTCACTGGCTGCCCGTATCAGAACCTTCCACACCTCTGGTGAGAGATGGTTAACGGAGGGCCGAAAATTCACCGCGTTAAACTATGGCAGAGAACCTTCCGTTTTCACCTCATCACCACAAGCAGCTTAGTGGAAAATTCACCAAAAATAACACCCCCTGTTACCCACGTGGACACCTGGCAGCAAACTATGGCATGAATTTGGTCGACTTATTGAACTTTATTCCTATTGATGGATGCTTCTCCGACTTCTGACTTATGGAGTTCTCTACGGTTTCCAAGATTATCAACTGCGGCTTCTACATTATTACTCAGACTTGATTTGCCTTTTACGCAGCTCAAGCCATGATCTATATCGGTTGGGGCAACTGCAGAGCAGCAGACAGATGAAGTGGCTACTACTCGATCAATGCTGTACATTTCACTTGAGTAATCTTGATTCTTGACTGCCATTTCAATGGTCGTCTGTCGCAATTCTTCCTTGGAAGATGCATTTCATCGTCCGAAGATTTTGCCGTTCTAGAGTACAGTTTGCACCTTTGCAGGTCTCTGACATTATGGTTTCTATCATACTTGCAACCGCACGAGCCGCACATTCGTGCGGAGTTCCGTGCGGGGGGTGCCTGTGCGGAATCGTGCAGGGTTTTTTTTTTTTTTTTTTTTTTTTTTTGGGAGGGGGAACACGGGGGTGTATGACAGGAAGATGGGGATATGGCGAGGAGAGGGGGATACGGAGAGGAGGAGGAGGATGTGGACGAGGAGGACGACGAGGATAGCGAGGATGGCTAGGAGGAGTCGAGATGGGGGGAGGAGAAGAGATGGGCGGAGGGAAAAGAGGAAGGGCAGGAGGAGGAGGAAACATGGACGGCGAGGAAGGGGAGGACACGAGGGAAGGGGAGGACATGAGGAAGGGAAGGAACCGAGGAGGCATGGAAGATGAAGAAGTACGAGGAGGAGGAGGAGACAAGGAGAATGAGGAAGAGCAGGAGGAGGACGAACAGGAGGAGGACGAACAGGAGGAGATGAAAAGGAGAAGGGAGGAGGAGACATGGAGGATGAGGAAGGGGAGGAGGAACAAGGTGAGGCAGTACTCCTGTAAATTTTTTTTTCATCTCGGTTGTAATTTTGGCGGGGGGCCTCAAACGCACCATTTCGAACCCGGCCTTTTTTTTTTCTGAGGGGGGTGACGGGTCATTTCCCGCACACGTCGTGCGCCGCACGGGATCGGTTGGGCGTGTGCGCCGCACGACGTGCGCTTGCAAAGTATGGTTTCTATTCATTGACCTGAGATTACATGATTCGTCATTATTTCAGACGCGTTATAGATGTAAGAATCACTTTTCTTTTCCTTGTGTTCAGGAGTAGTAGGATATTTCAGTGCGTTCTTGATAAGATACTTATTTTTCAGAGGTTCTTCTACAGCAGGCTTCAGGTTGGACCGACCCCTTTCCGGCTTCCCGCCCCCCTTTTTTCAAGAGATTGTTCAGACATTTAGCAGCCGGGACATTTTCCCTTCAGTGAGGGGGATAGTGTTACGGGTGTGCCCAGGGGTCAATCCATGGGCCTTGTGCAGGGTACTGGACCACCTTTTTTTTGCTTGGCGCGCCTGCGGTACGAGCACATTTTACATTTCTGTGCCTTGACGTTTTCGGCGGTACCCTTGTGGTACCGACTTATTCTGGTCCCACATACTGCGGGTACATCTTGTGCTGTACTGTATTTCAGACAATTGGAGTGTGAGTTCGACATTGAGTTGCTGCTGGTACTCTTCTCTGAGCGTCCGTTCATCCTTACCGATCGATGTTTTCTGCATTGGAGTCTGGTTGTGGCTATGTGTGCGTCCACTCCCCCTCACACCTCCTCCTCCTCCTCCTCCTTGAACCCAGCGCTAATCGCATGGTGCCTTAAGTTGCAAGCTATGATAGAGTGGGCTGCTGCCCAAGTTGCCAGCTATACTATCTAAGCTGTTGACTTACAGCAACTTACATGCCAGTCTTTGGTGAATGGCATGGGCAGATTACTGCTCTCTAGCATGGCAATTGTGTGTGAAAGACCGGCAATCTGCTAATCCGTCATAACAACTAACATGCCAATCTTGGGTGAATGCCATGGGTACATTACTGTTCTCTATCATTGCGAGTGTGTGTGTGAGAGAGAGTCATAGAGGTTCAAACTCCCTACCCGTTTACTGGTACCTGCCTGTAGCCCTTCCCTCCACCTCCTTTTCCTTCTCATGCTGGTGGAGAAAAAACACAGTGATGGCATTCGAGTTTTCATCACGAGGTACAGTGATGGTGCTTGAAGCTTTGGACGGATTTTGACGGTCTTCGTCATTGGGCATGGTTATCATTTTTTTTTATTTTTTTTTTTACTGCAGACGGAGGCAAATTTTACGGTGAGCCTGGTTGTTGGATCTCTCTTGGGGCTTTGCACGGCCATTTGCTTGCATCGTGTAATGAAGGTACTGCGTGTGTACTATGTGGACGACGGTACCTTTGAACGAACCGACAACCACTCATGGCGAATGACAGGCAGGCTGTCACCATTTGGATCCTTCAGCAACCGAAGACAATCCTTGTCTCCGTACGCAGGTGAGTTGACTCCCCCTCGCAGATATTTTTCCTTCTTCGTGTGTTGCATTCTCCTCGTCCGTTCATCATTGGTGAGCATTCCTTCATTCTTGCTTCAATAGTTTTTTGCATTGTGGCACTATAAGGGCTCCTCTTGGTGTCTCTATCTACCGCCTGTGTTGCATTCTCCTCATCCGTTCATCATCGGTGAGGATTCCTTCATTCTTGCTTCAACAGGTTTTTTCAATGTGGCAATATAATGGCTCCTCTTGGTTGTGGCATTCTATTCTCTAATGGATCAAGGGAGCCAAGTTCAGCCAACAGTTTTGTTTAAATGTAGTGGTTGGGTTCAGGATGAATGGTGGTAGCAGGCTTTGAGGTACAAGTGAGAGATGGGGCTGGCCTCCAAGTTGAACCATATGCGCTTCTCACAATGTTTTTACCTGTTTTCACTGTTTTTCAGTTCTAACTTCTAATGCAATGAACTGGGTGTACTTCTGTTCCATCAGCCCGGAAAGGCAGCTATCGGAGTACTAAACCAGTTTATGATTAAAAAAAAAAAAAAAAAACCGGTTTATGGATTTGGTTAGTCAGTGACATCTAGGATATGGTGAGACAAAGCTCAGCATCAATAGTAGCAGCATGCTTGGAGGGTCAGGTGAGAGATGGGACAGGTCCTCTTTTTTTTTTCCTTTTTACTTCGAAGATGGACCCTTTCTCAGTTTATGTGTGTCATCCTTGTGTAGGGGCCATGCTAATTGTGCCTGTCTCGTTCAATTTTTCACGGATGTCCCACAAGACATGGGACCAGCCCTCTTAACCGGGCCTGATTCCACTGTTGTACTCAAAAACTTCACAGTGTAAGAATTTGATTGCAGAGAACTGGTACCAAACCATACACATGCTCATGAATATTACGATGAATGATGATCCTGCAATAGACTTGGATAGTCTTAAGAGGGATTTTTTGGTCTATTTAGAAGTTACAACCGTCCTTCTTTTTGAGAAAAAGGGTCGGCAAAGCGTGCCAACCCTATTGGAGGGTTCAGAAATTCTGCCAGCCATATGTCTTGATGTCCATACAGTGCACGGCCTAAACCATGCATGGCATATATAGCCAACTGGCCCTTTTTAATCTATTACAACCGTCCTTCTAAGCTGAAGGGAATCCACTTTTTCAGTTGCAGTGCAGTGACCTCCTAAGTGCAAGGAATTCCCTATTCAGTTGTAAAATTACTTGTAAGTTGTGAGTCTTGTGATACAACGAACTGATACGTTTTCGTAACAGAGTATGACGCACACGCTCATCAAATCCGTAGATGTTGCACGTTATTCTGTACCACTGTGGTTGCGATAATCGGCACGATAGAATTTTAGAAGACTAATCCAGGCCAGGAGATGATCAGGAGATCATATTCTGCCGGTACTCGAGTATTGTGCATATATGCCATACAACATAGGAGGATGATAGGACACTTGAAGGCCTGACAAAGGGCCTGTTGCGTTTAGTGAAGCCGTTATGCCGTTCTCAACACAGCAGCAGTCCCCTAGACATAACGCATGTGTTGTATCCAGTTTCCCTTAAAAAATATCCTTCTTTCTTCAAACTTGCACATTTCGTTCGGGCTGTACGTCACTTCAAATCGAATGCATATGCGTTGTATTCAAATGTATGCTTCGTAGCTGAGTTCATCGCACTTCCTTCTGATAAAAATCCGCTAATATTCAATAGAACACGAAAACGTTCTTTTCATCACGCAATTGCATTGTATTGGGGTAAGGCATAACGTGGTCTCTCTCTCTCTCTCTCTCTCTCTCTCTCTCTCTCTCTCTCTCTCTCTCTCTCTCTCTCTCTCTCTCTCTCTCTCTCTCTCTCTC